GGCCACAAGCAGGGAGCTGCATGGGAAGTAGAGCATCCAGGACACGAACTGACGCTCAATGGGATCCTGACACAAGGCAAGGACTTTAATCACTAGGCTACCGCACCAGGCCCTAAAACTAACTTACACCGTAATTCTTCTTGAAAGATTTTCTAAAATGTATGTTTATCTATCCAAAAGGCAAAGGGACACAAAGAGAAGCAGAAAGAAACGAACAGATAAGCGTGCCCATCCTTGGCATTACTTCCCAAATTCCTACAGCCTACATTCCTACAGCCTCTGGAGCGGGGCCTGGGCAGAGCGCAGGGGAGCTGTGATTCCAGTATAGCTTTGTCACCTGATGCCAGGGCCCTAACTTCTGTCACAAGGACAGCCCAAAGCCTTGGGACCCTGCATCCACGTGGGAGACTCAGAGGAAGATGCTGGCTATTGTTATTGGAAAGGCAAGTATACAGAGAGGAGGAGAAACAGAGAGGAAGATCTTCTATCCGATGGTTCACTCCCCAAATGACTATAATGGCTGGAGCTGTGCCAATCTGAAGCCAGGAGCCCAGAGCCTCTGCCGGGTCTCCAACATGGGTGCAGGATTCCAAGGCTTTGAACCGTCCTCGACTGCTTCCCTAGGCCACAAGCAGGGAGCTGGATGGGAAGCAGGGCTGCTGGGATTAGAACCAGTGCCCACATGGTATCCTGGCACATTTAAGGCAATGATTTTAGCCATTACACTATTATACCAGGCCCAATCCCATAGAGTTTTTTAAATTATTTGTTTTCTGGGGCCGGTGTTGTGGCATAGCAAGTTAAGCTGCCACCTGTGATGCTCGCATTCCAAATGGGAACCAGTTCAAATCCTGTCTGTGGCGCTTGCCATCCAGCTCCCTACCAATGATCTGGGAAAGTAGCAGAAAATGACCCAAGTGATTGGATCCCTGCCACACACTGGGAGACCCTGATGGAGTGCTCGTTCCTGGCCTTGGCCTGATCCAGCTCTAGTTGTTGCGGCCATCTGTGAAGGGACTCAGAGGATGGCGTATTAATCTCTTTATCTGTCTCTTCCTCTCTCTCTGTAACTCTTTCAAATAAATCAATCTTTTGTTTCACTTCATTTTAATTTTTTCAGAAAGATATAGATATCAGATATACAGAGAAGAGGAGAGACAGAGAGGAAGATCTTCCATCCAATAATTCACTCCCTAAGTGGCCACAATGGCCGGAGCTGGGCCGATCTGAAGCCAGGAGCCTGGAGGCTCTTCTGGGTCTCCCACACAGGTACAGAGTCCCAAGGCTTTGGGCCGTCCTCAACTGCTTTCCCAGGCCACAATCAGGAGCTGGATGGGAAGTGGGGCAGCTGTGATTACAATTGGTACCCATATGGGATCCCAGCAGGTACAAGGCAAGGACTTTAGCCACTAGGGCTACTGCGCCAAGTCCAACCTTATAAATCTTAATATTTTCAAAAAATAACTAAAGGAAAAGGAGACAAAAGAGAGAGAGTGAGAGAGACAGACAGAGACAGAGAGAGAGGGAGGGAGATAGATCTTCCAGCTGCTAGTTCACTCCCCAAATTTCCACAAAAGCCAGAGTTGGGTCAGGACAAAGCAGGAGTCCGGACATTCCTTTGTGTCTCCCATATGGTGGCAGGAACCTAGGCCCTCCAGCCACCTCCTGTGAAGGTGCAGTGAGGTCAAACCAAACTCCTGAAGCTAGGATGCAGGTATATCAAGTGGCGGATTAGTCTGCTCTGCTCAGTCTGCTCCCTAGCCAGTTTATGAACTAGCCTGTACTCCTGGCATCTTCAGTAATCAGCTCAAGACAGGAAACCGCACCTGATGATTCAGCAGAGCTATTCTTAGGACAGCTCTAGTTGGAAGAAAACATTTCCGAATCAAAAGTTTGCCCTTCCTGATCTGTCCTTTGTGATCACCCAGATCATTCTGAACCCCTTTCCATACGACACCGATAAGGATTCGTTCCCCACATGGTGTGAGGACCAGTTGGATTTCATGGGGCAGGCACGGACCGAGCAAAGCCCTGCGAGGCACCACATATAACAACACAAGAACAAAACCCACGGCTGTCCGTGAGAGCCAGCTACTACGGAAACCCAAGGCAGCAAATGCTGAGTTCTCTACATGATGGCGTTAGAGAAACAAAGACATCACGTCTAGGGAGGCCGCAGGAACACAGAGGAAGCAGCAGGTGGGAAATGGGGTATCTTATCTGTATGCCCACACTGATGCCAGGCCGAGGAAGGGCACTGATGCCGGCCGAGGAAGATGGATTTTACACCTGAAGCGAAGCTGAGGAGTACAACCAGGCAGTACACTGCAGTACTTCTCCTTTCACATTTAACATCACCCACATCTCCCCCATCACTCTCTTCTCCATTTGTTCAGCACTGCTAAGAGACAAAGATCCACTCATCCAACACTTCTCACTTTCCTAGGAGAATTCCCGCTCCCGGACCCCCCTCTTTTTTTTTTCTCTTTTAACTGTTGGCACCGTTGAAATAGAGAGCCTCGAGTGGTTTTGTGGCAGCTGGAACCGGGGAGGGAAGCTGTGGCCTTACTCTCTTCCCCCTTACAGATCTGTGAAACTTGCTGTCTGCCCAGTATTTACACTTAACTCGGAAACAGTCAGCCAGTCATTGTTTGAGCATCTTGGTTGACAGGTTGTGGATATTTTACAAAATAAGATGTCTTCAGGGGCCACGTTGGGGCAGAGCAGGGAAGGCCATTACTTGTGCCCAGTTCAAGTCCCAGCTGCAACAATTCCAATTCAGTTCCCTGCTAAGGGCCTGGAGAAAGCGATGGGAGACGGGCCCAAGTCCTTAGGTCCCTGCACCCACGGGAGGGACCTGCAAAAAGCTCCCGGCCCCAGGGTTTGGATGGGCCCAGCTTTGGCTGGTATGACTATTTGGAGAGTGACCCAGCAGGTCACTCATTTATATATATATATATACATTTTTAAAGTGACTTGGTCCATTTTGTGTTGCTACAATAAAACAGCAAAGGCTGGGTACTTCACTTAGCTCACAGTATTGGAGTTTGAAAGTCCAAAAACACAGCTGCTGCCCCACCCCTCCTTGGCTGCTTGGCTTCTGCGGAGGGCCCGTGAGTGGGTCAGAACTTGTGAAAAGACGTGGGAAGAGAAAGGACCCGATGCAGAAGGGGCCCGTGGCACGGGGTGGGCTCACTCTGCGACAGCGTGTGCACACGGGAGCAGTCAGTCCGCCAAGAGCAACGTCAACAGCCTTGCTCCCCTCACCGAGACCCCTGCTCCTAAAGGGCCCCCACCTCACAGCAGCACCCAACTAGAGACCAAGCTTCTTAAAGGAAAAAAAAAAAAAAATAATTTATTTCTTTATTGGAAAGGCAGATCTGATTTACAGAGAGAAGGAAAGACAAAGATCTTTTATCTGCTGGTTCACTCCTCAAAAGACCACAACAGCTGGAGCTGAGCCGATCCAAAGCCAGGAGCCAGGAGCTTCAGGGTCTCCCACATGGATGCAGGGTCCCAAGGCTTTGGCCCGTCCTTGACTGCCCTCCCAGGCCACAAGCAGGGAGCTGGATGGGAAGCAGGGCTGCTGGGATTAGAACCGGCACTCGTGTGGGATCCCAGCATGTACAAGGCGAGGTTAGCCACTAGGCTACAGTGCTGGGCCCTGCTTTCTCTAAGACAGAAATTACACACTCTTCAGGTAGAGACAATATCCTTATGACCACTTACAGAATTTCCGGAAAGATCAAATAAAACCTTGTGAGTGAAGGAGCTTTGCAGGCTACGAGTCTGCTGGCAGATCTAGTGCGTAGTTATCACCCCAGAAAGGCTCTCTTGTAAACTGTCAGGCTCTGCCAAATATAAAACAAGGCTTTTACTGCCTTTCGGTAGCTTCTGCAGAGAACCACTGCTAACTGCGTGATGACAGGTTCAGTGACCGTCCCTCACGGGGAGGAGCTCACTGTGAGAAATGTCACAGTGCCTTTCGATGTGTTAAGAGGGTTGGTCATCAGCAGCAACTTCCTGATCTCATCAATTGATCCAAATCTCTACCTCCTGCGAAAAGTCGCTTCTTCTGTGTTGACTGCCTGAAACCGAATGGCTTCCGAGTCCCTCAGCAGCGCTGGAATCTCACCATGTGACAGGCAGGACCAGCGACGGGAACCCCAGCACAGGCCTCCCGTGTAGACCTCCAGCACTGGACGCCAGGCTCTGCTCTAGCAGAAAGCTGATGGGGAGCTAGGGGCGGATACGGGAGCCCCGTCTCTCTGTCGTGACATAAGAACAACTTAACAGGCACCGTCTCCACTTAAGCCACATGCTTTCCTCTTTTGGGGGGCCCGGTGTGCTAGCCTAGTGGCTAAAGCCTTCCCCTGTAAAGGCGCTTGAGTGCACCAGTTCAGATCCCAGCTGCTCCACTTCCCATCCAGCTCCCTGCTTGTGGCTTGGGAAAGCAGTCGAGGACGGCCCAAAGCCTTGGGACCCTGCACCTGCGTTGGAGACCCGGAAGAGCTCCTAGCTCTTGGCTTCGGAGTGACGCAGCACCGGCCGTTGCGGCCACTTGGGGAGTGAGCCATCGGGGTCAACACCATGACATAATATGTTAAGCCTTTGCCTGTGGCACCAACATCTCAAACGGGCACCAGTTTGTGTCCCAACTGCTTCACTAGGAAGGTAGAGGAGGATGACTCAAGTCTTTGGGACCTTGAACCCACGTGGGAGATCCAGAAGAAGCTCCTGGCTCCTGGCTTGGGACTGACACAGCTCCTGCCATTTAGATCATTTGGGGAATAAAGCAGCAGGTGGGAAGAGGTTTCTCTCTGTCTCTTCCTCTCTCTTTAAATCTACCTTTCCAATCAAAATAAACATTTTAAAAAGTGCCTGAATTTTTTGCCCCAGTTCCATTCTCCACCCCAGTTTCTTGCCGATAGGCATCGAGGCAAGTGACAACTCAATAATCCGGTCTACACTGCCTATATGGAAGATTTCAATTGACTTACCAAATCTGGGCTTCAGCGTGGTCCGGATCCATCTTTTGAGCATCTGGGTGAATGAGTCCGCAGACAGAAGATCTCTGACTGTCTCTGTCTTCCTGCCTTTCAGATAAAATGAAAACAGATTAATCAAAATTTTAACTTCATTTAAACACATGTATGCAGAAAGGTCAGACCTAGAAATATACATATTAGATTCACAGAAAACAATTTAGGACATGTGATTATAGAGTGTAAATAAAGAGAAAGAAATCAAAGACTTGAGCACTCTAACTTATAGAGATAAGACTGCAGAGACAGAATAAATAGAGGAAATGGGGAATGGTAAGAAGGTTAGAAAGTTCTTGTTTGGGCCTGGTGCGATAGCCTAGCAGCTAAAATCCTCACCTTGCTGGCGCCAGGATCCCATATGAACACCGGTTCTAATCTCAGCAGCCCCGTATCCCTTCCAGCTCCCTGCTTGTGGCCTAGAAAAGCAATCGAGGACGGTCCAAAGCCTTGGGACCCTGTATCCTTGTGGGAGATCCGGAAGAAGCTCTGGGATCCTGGCTTTGGATCGGCTCAGCGCTGGCTGTTACGGCCATTTAGGGAGTGAACCATCGAATGGAACCACTCTGTAGATATCTTTCCAATAAAAATAAACTTTAAAAAACATCAGCAGATTTGATAATGCAGAGGAAATCCCAGAACAATGTAAAAGTCTTTTTTTTAAGAAGTTCTTGTTTACGGAATGAGTTGATGCGTGGGCCCTCTGGCCTCTGGTACCTCGACATGTGGCTACACTTGAAGGTAGAGCCTGTGCAGATGTGATTAGCTTCAACTCAAGGCACAAAGGGCTGCCACTGTGGTCCCTGTGACACCACTGACACCCCAGAGTGTGCCACCTGGCCCACTTCTGATCTAGCTTCCAGTTAATGTGCCTACAAAGGCAGTGGAAGATGCTTCAAGTATGTGCAACTGTGCCATCCACATGGGAGACTCGGATGGAGATCTGTCATGGCCATTGTGCTGTTTGGAGAAGAAGCCAGTAGATACAAGAGTTTCTCTCTCTCTCTCTCTCTCTCATGCACATGCTCTTTGTCACTTTGAATAAACTGTCTTTGGGCAGTGATTGCTACTACTTATCCAATCTGTTCTTTCTTCTTCCCTGATGAATAGAATCCCAAGAGAGTATTTGTTCCTGGTTTCCTTCCCTCGGCGACTGAATCCTGGCCAGTAAGACTGAAATAGGATTATTGTACATACTTTGTGAAACTCTTAATATGGACGTATCTGCTCTGCTTTTCTTCTACCACCTCGCTTGTGGATATGGCAACAACAGGAGTACCAATGGCCACCTTTATCTCTGCAGTGCCCTTAAGACTAGAATCCTTGAGTTGAGGATGACAAAGCAGAAAGGTGGGGCTCTTGGTTCATGTTGACACGTAAAATGGAAACAGCTCTTGCTTTACACAAGAGAAAATACCAAGTACGTGGCTGGCATGCTGGCACAGCAGGCTAAGCCTCCACCTGCAGCACTGGCATCCCATATGGCAGCTGGGTCATGTCCCGGCTGCTCCACTCTGACCCAGCTCCCTGCTTGTGGACTGGGAAAGCAGTGGAGGATGGCCCAAGGGCTTGGGCCCCTGCACCCATGTGGGAGACCTGGAAAGATGCTCCTGGCTCCTGGCTTTGGACTGGTTCAGCTCCAGCCCTTGTGCCCATCTGAGGATGACCAACAGGTGGAAGATCTCTCTCTCTCTCTCTCTCCTGCTCTGTCTCTGTAACTCTCTGCCTTTCCAATAAAACAAATAAATCATTTTAAAAAGAGAGACAAGATCACAGTAACTTCTTCACGTCATCATTCTTTTGGAATTTTCTGTTGTATACATGCAGCCCCATGCTAACCAATGCTCATGGAATTACTGGCTTTCTGTTGATCTTTTGTTGTTGTTCCTGACTTGTAAGCAGTGTACCTCTTTACACTGTTTTACAACAACCTCTTCTCATTTTATGGATTTGCTATCATGTAGAGATGCAACTGTAAGCAAAACTGGTTTAGATGTGTCCTATGAGCCTGAATAACACTGAGAAGCTTCCTGTCTAGAGAGGAAATAGATGACCAAGCTTTGTTAAACCAAAACAAAAAAATGTTAAAAGGGCCAGAGAGACCCTCCTTTGACTGAATGTGATTTCTGCTGTGGCTATACCTCCATATTCTTCCTTGTGCTTAGAACTCAATTCTGTGTGGGTGACATTCTTTTATTTACATGATCAGTGCAATTGTAACTGCAGCATGCCTTTAAGGACTTTTTATCGTACCATATAACTAAAGGCTTGCAGTCAGCTGGGAAAGCACTTATTCAAGGAGAAAAATACTTGAATTCAGCGACAAAGAATTTTACGGTTTTGGAACTTGCACTGTTCCCACCACCCCTCAACTCCCATGAGGCTTTAGGAACGGACAGGCAGGATCCTGCTAAAACCTAGGAGCTGAGAAACCTCTGGAAAGGGGAGCAAACATTTGGATCTTGCCCAAAGCTTTATCCACCTAGAATTTTTATTTGATCTGTCAGGTGCTTCTCTGGAAAGCTCCATGTTAAGGGTGTTTTTATTCTACCTGTCCTGTGCCTTATCCAGGGTTAAACAACATATATACATACATATATATATATATGTATTCTCAGGCTCAGCACAATAGCCGGTCACCTGGTCAGTTCTTTCCCCAGCCCCATCTCATATACAAACCAAAGGATGCTATGGCCCAGCCTAACCCTGCCCACCACACTCTGCTCTCACATACACCAGCAGGAGCTTCAGTCCAGTCAGAGCAACCCCCAATAACTCCTACTAGGCCTGTCCCTAGCCTTGGTTCCTGTGCATACCAGTATGTGCAGCAGACTGGTCCAGTCTGTCCCACATCCCATTCAGCTCCCGTACACATCAATGGGCGTTGGAGCCTAGTTCAACCCACCCAACTCCACTATTAAGCCCATGCTCATGTGGGTGCTACCGCCTGTCTGGCCAGACTTTCCCCCAGCCCTTGTTCTCATGCTCACCAGTGGGAATGGCAATCCATCAGAGAAGTGCCCACAGTTTCTCTACTGGGCCCACTCCAGCCCTGAATCTTGCACTTTGTGGGTGGTTCTACAGTCTAGTCTGACCGGACTTGCTCCCATTCCTAGCACTTGCTAGCTGATGCTGCAGCAAAGTCCAACCAGTCTACACTTACTCTGGCCCATGCGTGCACCAGTGGATATAGTCAGTTAGCCCAACCTGGCTCTTCCCCTAACTCAGCTCATATGTAGGTCAACAGGTGTTGTAACCCTGCCCACCCTGGTCTGCAAACGGTCTCAGCTCTCATGCTCATCAGCAGGAGCAGTGGCCCAGCAGGGAGCCCCTGCGCTCCCCTCCAGGGCTTATATCCCATCCCAGGTCTCACATGTGCTCACAGGTCTCACATGTGGCCCAGACTGGCATGACTCGTCTCACATTAGCATCCACCAGCAGATGTTGCATCCTGAATCAGCCCGATCCACCCCCAGTTCTAGCTTATACTGGTGGGTGCTACAGCCTAGTCTGGCCCAGCGAGCCCCCAGTTCTAACCCTAATGTGAACTGGCTGGCATTGTGGCCCAACCCAGCCTTGTCCTGCACCCTGTCCTGGTTCTCACATCTGCCAGTGGGTGCTGTGAACTGGCCCAGATCTGACCCACATGTATGCCAGCAGGCACTGTAACCTGGCTTGGTCTGGGCTGCTCCTAGCCTTGGTTCTTGCTCTACCTTTCAGGGACCGTCAGAGGAGTTCCTCAAGCTCTTTTACCAGGTCACCTCCAGTGGCAAAATCTTTGTGTACTCCCAGTGGGTGCTTGGCCCAGCCTGACTTGGCCCACCTCCTGTGCTGGTAGGAACAGCAGCCTTGCCCAACCAGCCCACACCCATTTCAGCTTTTATTATTGGGTGCTACAGCCCAGCCACATCTGGTCTACCCCCAGACCTATCTCTTCCGTGGTTCAGCAGGTGCAGCCTGTCCTATACCTACCCTGATGCTTGTGAACACTGACAGGTGTTGGAGCCTAGACCAACGTGGCACACCCCAGACCCAATCCAGCCCTATGCTGAGGGATGCTGCAGCCATGTCCAGTCCAGTTCACCACCCCCATTTCAGTTGTCGTGCTCATGAATCATAGCCCAATAGAGGTGTCCTCTTAGCTCCAAGACTAAGCTCACTTCCAGCCACAGATCTTGCACATACCAGTGGTTGCTGTGAGCCTGGCATAACCCATCACCGAGCTTTTGCCACCAGATGCTGCAGCCTGGTCTGGCCTGGCCCGCCCCCTATCGTAACTGTTGCTGGTAGGTGCTGCAGCCTAGCCCTTCCCAGCCTGCCTCCATTCTCAGCTTTTGTGCAAACTGGTAGGTGTGATAGCCTATCCTAGCTTGGCATAGCCTACACCCCATCCTGGTTCCTGCACATGCCAGTGTGCTATGTTCAGCCTGGCCCTGCCTGGTCTACTCTCTATAAAGCCAACCCACACTCCTGCTGACAAGTGAAGTAGCCCAGTAACGTGCTGATCAACACCCAGCCCTGACTCACATGCTCAGCAGCAGGAGCAACAGCTCACCGGAAGAGTTGCCCAAGATGCCCCCCAGGCCCATTCCCAGACCCAGATGTCAACATGCCAGTGGGTGCTGGGCCTTTATCTGGCAGTCTGCTCTCCCACTGTCAGCCTCTGTGTGTGCTGCTGGATGTTCTGGTCCAGTGCATCCCACACCAATTCTTGCTTGTGCTTGTGGGTACTTCAGCCTGGACCAGCCCAGGCTGTTCCCAACCCCACTACCCATGAGTGTTGTTGAGTTCCATGGCCATGCTTAGCTCAGTCTGTCACCACCCCAGCTCTTGAACAATCCAGCTGGTATCACAGTTCCACAGGGGTGAGCCCACAATCTCCCAGAAAATATGCTCCCAAATCCAGTTCCCTCATAAGCTAGTTAGTGTCATGGACCAACCTACATGGTCTGCTCCTCCTCCAACACTCACTGGCACGTACTGTGGTCTAGCCCTACCACACAGGCCCCCCCAGGCATGGCTTTTGTGTGTGCCAGTAGGCCAAGGTTGATACG